ACAATTTTCATTCAAAGATGAGCAGATTTTTGACGTCTCGGATTTTGAGGCGTTGCTGAGGTGCAGAATGACTGCCCTCCTGAAGCATCGGAGTCCAAATGGCTTGACGCTGTGGACGTTCGCTGTTGAATTTACAAGCATCGTATGAAGGACGTTGATGAGATGGCCAATGCGGATTGTCATCAAGATTCATGGCTTTCTTGGCCGTCCCAAGAGCTAGTTATGTTTACGAAAGATGCGTTAGAAGAGGTTGCTGGACAGCGACATGACACAGTTTAACACTCGTCATGGTGCACTGCAGAAAGCGCCTTGGATTTTACCATGTTTTGCTGCACCATCAACTTCCATGGGCATTGATTCACTCCAATGAGGCGACGGGACACAGAATCCAATACGAAAATCAGAAACCGTTGACAATGATTTTCAAACAGTTTGCTTTACTCAACAACCCAAAGGGTCCGAGGTCATGGTAGTATTACTTCCTGCATCTTTTGCGTGCAGTACCGTGCCTCTCTCCAGAATCGTCCAATCTGCTGCTTTCCCAAGGTAATCTGACCTCACTTTATCCATCAAACCTGCCCCACCAGATTGGAGACCAGCGCGGCGCCCGCATCATTTTCCACACTCCAAGCACGACCACAATGTCTCCGACGACACCACAAACCAACCGTAACCAAACCTCACAGACGACGACCCTACTCATCCTCTGCTTCATCATTATCTGCCTCTTTCCAAACCTATTTCACTTTCTCTGGAACCTGCCTCTTACAGCCCTAGGCTACGCATTCTCAACAAGTAGCAGCAGCAGCAGCAGCTCAAAACCCCCACGTCATACCCCACCAACTACAACAACCATGACGGGCTCCTGGTTCCAAAAGCAGTTCTCCCTGCCCGCCCGCTCGCGCGGCTCCTACCTCATCACGGACGAGATCGTCGGCGCCCTCCCGGAGCTCAAGAACTACAAGGTCGGCATCCTCCACCTGTTTGTCCAGCACACGAGCTGCGCCCTCAGCCTCAACGAGAACTGGGACGACGACGTCCGCGCCGACATGAGCGACGCGCTGGACCGCATCGCGCCCGAGGCGGGGCCCAAGGGCCAGGAGCTGTACCGTCACAGCGCCGAGGGTCCCGATGACATGCCGGTGAGTTTGGTTTCTTTTTAATCTTTTGGTGCTACAGTGTGGTGATCTGATACCATGTGTCACACATAGGCTCACATCAAGAGCGCTCTCGTTGGCGCGAGTGTTACCATCCCGATCAAGGATGGCAAGTTGGTAAGTCTGATCACAGGAAAAGTCGAAATGGGGGATTTCCGGCTCACTTACATTGTCTAGGCTACCGGAACCTGGCAAGGAATCTGGTACCTGGAGTTCAGAGCCAGCAAGCACCAGCGCCGCCTGGTGGCCACCATCCAGGGAGAGCCCAAGGCGTGAGTTTCTTAGGTGTTATGCAGATAGACTGAGAACATGGAATGGAAAAAAAAACGTCACCAATCCCACTTCCAAACAATGAATACCATTCTATGTGGTGTCGATCGACGCAAATATCGCGTCAAACCTGTTGTACAGTCCTACCGGTCTACTTATGGCACTTTTGTGACCTACGCCAAAACGCCTCGCCCCTGATCCCTTTTCGTGAGAAGCCCTTCCTCCCTTTCTGTGTCCGCATTTCGCGCGACCCGCAACTCTTACTGCTGCTGCTGCTGCTGCTGCTCGCCGTTCTCTTCTTCGTCTCCCTTGGCCTCCTGCATGTCCGTGTCGTCGCCGCTCGCCAACACCTTTGTTCTCGGAACGTATCCTTCCGGTGCACTCGCGCCGGGCGTAGCAGCGACGATGTTGCCGTTCTCGTCGACGAACTCAAAGTTGTATCTGCTGAGGAGGTGGGGGATCGCCGAGAGCTGGGGGCCGTATCTCGCCGTGTTGTCGTAGAGCTCGAAGAGGGGGACTGCGAGGAGTTTCATGTTCTTGGGGACGCTAAGCACCTCTGTTGGGGGACATGGGTTAGCAAAAAGTGTTGCTGCTGTTGCTGTCAAGGGTTTTCATTAACATACTGCTCTTGGGCAACTGGATAAAGTAAAGCTTCTTGCATTCCTTTGGCCGAGTCACATGCGCCGGAACAAAGGGGTACATGAAGGTCTCAAAGTTGGGCCGCCACCACTGGGCCAGGCAGTCGCCAACCTGCCAGTCAGCGGGCTCCTCGCCCTCGCCGATGCGGCCGACGGGGGCGAGGCGCTCATCGAGGCGGGCCTTGAACCCTTCAACCTCGTCGTCCTCGGGGCGGAGGTAGTCTCCGGGGAGCTTGAAGAAGGCGTTTGCGATTTGCAGCATGAGGATGTGCGGGTGGTTGTGCTCGTGGCAGACGAGGATGCCCTCGCAGGTGCGGCGCATGCCGTGCTGGGTGTAGTGCTCCTCGAGGCGCTTGAGGCGGGCGATGACGGAGGGGTCCTCCTCGGGCTGGGTCTCCTTGACGCCGAAGGTATAGTTGGAGAGCGGGTAGAGGCGGATCGTGTCTGGTTGGTTTGAGTTGAAGGAGAGGGGGATGATGGGCGCGTGGCCCGATTGCAGGGCCGTGGTTGTAATTGTCGACATTATGGCTGTCGTCCCTATGTGTGTGTTCTTGTGTGAGTATCGTGGGATGCGCGCGGCGGGCGGGAAATGCTTGTAGGAAGGTTTGTAGCTGATAACCAGGTTCGGTCTTGGGAAGGAAGGCGCGTTGGACAGGGCTGGGAAAGCTGAGCTAAAGCACGTAGGTGTTGGAGCTTCCACGATTCGACTAGGAGGCACGGGCTGGCTAATGGGGAAGGCGGTGGGGGCTGAACCCCTGATACCCCGGCCCCACCATCCGGACCTCCTTCACCGAGGAAAGCGGCCCAACTCCGACGACACGCCTTGCTGTATTTTGCACAGCGAAGCATGAGTTAATTACTCCGTGCATTTATCCCACCACTTATGTCTGATGAATCGAGCCTATTCAACAAGAATATTTGGAACTTTTATCCCAATCATATTCTGGAGGACTTCCGTGCCAAATGAAATGAAGCCCCTGCCCTTACGTACATACGGCGCGTATATTACTGTGTTCTCCCGCCAATATTATCGCAAGTAGCAGTGGCAAGCTACCTTAGTTAAATCCCGAGTTACAAGTGAGAAATCATGCATTGCTTGCATGACCGGTACAACTATCTTCGTGGCTGTCTCTCTCCTTTTGCTTAGGATACCTGGATAAACCAATAAGATGTCAGTAGCCTGAATAAAGTAACACGCCTCACATTTTACAATTTCTCAAGGACATGAAAAAACTAGGTAACTTTGAATTCAGGCAGCCTGATTATCAGCTAGGTATGTGTTTAAGAGTAATGTTTCCCTCCCAAGCCGAGTCGTCGGCGCATCTCAAACGATGCAGTAACTTTCTGTCTCATAACTTCTTAGAACTCCAGCTCCCCCAGCTTAACTGAATCCATGAAATGGATTTCAGACTCCCCGAACACACAGCTCATTTTCTTCTTCCTTTACCAGCCATCTTCTTCTTCAGTTCTCGCAGGCGTGTAACGGCTCTGGTAAGCACGAAAAGAGCGTATGGGCCATGTCCATCCATGTTTTCGCTCGCATTTCGCTTTATCGCCATATACTCGCTCCTCTCTTCTCCTTGCTCGCCGATGGGAACAATGATACCTGCATATCTGCAGAGAATTGCATTGAGTATCATACGGCAAGTTCTGCCATTGCCATCTAGGAATGGGTGAATTTGGACAAATTCCAGTGAGTACTTTGAAGCTACAGAGAACGGGTCGATGAAGCCTCGTGTTTCGGCGAGTGAGATATCTTCCTTGAGTTGCTCGCAGAACTCTTTCATCTTGCGCGGCACGAATTGAGGAACTGTGAACATTGTCGAGCCAGCTCCAACTGCAACATCCCGATAGATGCCGCCATATTTCTCAGGTGCAACGTCATCCATGCCCTCTTGGACGATTGGGATACCCTTGGTGAGGATTCGATGTGTTTCTTTGATGATCTCCTCGGTGAGATCTTCTTGCAATACGACAAATGTATGTATGAGGTATTGAAAAGCGCGCGCGTGCTGAATGATTTCTCTTCGTCCCCGGAGAACATACTGCGCCGGCATGTCCTTGAGATTGCCTTCTTTTCGATACATCTCCAGCAATTCGCTTTCGTACTCAGGAGTACGCTCAGGAATGTCGGTGACATCTTCGCCGGAGAAGATCTTTCGGCAGAGGTGAACTGTGATATCCCAGCCAAGACCAGCTCTCTCAATCATGTTAGAGCCAAAGATAGCACGAATTATCGCTTCGTGTGTCTCTTTGAGTATCGTATCTGCATGATCGTTCTCTGCTGAATTCTCTTGTATTGCTAGAAGCCAGTTTGAAGCTTTTTCGAACAGCTTCTTTGGATTATCGTCGCTTGAATATTGTAGATAAACGTCATCGGCTCTGATCGTCATAGAAAGAGTTTCTGAATTCTCTTTCTGATCATTATCATTCCAAGATGATCTCACCGGCCAGCCTCTTGATATGGTGGAGTGGAAGTGTTGGCGCATGATTGTTCGTTCTATTGGGCTTGTATTAGGTGAGGGGATAACCACTCGGGGGATTTCAAGGCCGAATAGATCGCGAAGAGACTTGCGTCGATTGTGTTTCTTCTTTGGTGAAGACATACTGAGGATCTTCATATAATAGTCAGCAAGTGTATCTCCGAAAGAAAGAAAAAGCGTGAGTCAATCTGTGAAATGCTATTTTGCGGAGATAGCTTACCTTGACGGAGTGCGTAGGTTGTTCGTTCTCAGGTAATGTGCAAAGAGAAAGGAAGTGGGATTTGAGTTTGTAGTCAAGGTGCGTATGCAAAGAAAGCAGAGGACTTTTGAATTCTCATCAGGGAAGGAAGAAGCCCGCGAGGTTTTGCATGGTGCTTTTTGGGAAAGAATTAACCAGGCCGCAATTCGTCATTGGTGTTCTGAGAAGTCCTGAATCCGGCAAGAGCACTGCAATGAATGCTATCCTGGACGAGGAAAAAGTTCCTCTCACCAACTGTATGCGAACCTGTACGGTCGCCGTTGCCAAGATTTCGTGCAACGGCTCCAATGATACTGCTAAGAAGTATCGCGCCGAGATTGAGCTCGTTACTCAGGCTGAGGGGACTGCTGAGGTCGTTGCCCTTCACCGCGACATCCTTGACAACAGGGGCAAGCTCTCTCCGGACATCAAGAATGCGGACAGCGACGCTGGGATCGCATATTCCATTCTGAAGGCCGCCTACCCACAGCATACTGATATGCAACTCAGAGATGTCGATCCTGTTGTTCTTGCCAATTTTGTCAAGGTGCGAGAGGTGATTGGCAAGACCAAGGTGATTGAAGAAGCAGAGTGCGCTCCTTTTTACGCCGGAATCTCGGCCTTCGTGGAATCGGAGAAGAAGCGAAACAAATCTCGCACGGAAGGCGATGGTGCTGAACCTGAGGAGCTGGAGATGGCCTACTGGCCCCTCATCAAGGTCGTGCGGGTCTTCCTGAAGTCAGAGGTCGTTTCTACCGGAGTAGTCATTGTGGATTTGGTACGTGGATACAAACCTCTACGTTGATATTGCTACTGACACTAAAATAGCCTGGAGGACGCGACTCGAATGCTACTCGCGCGGCAGTCGCTGTACGTTGATGGGCGACAACTTCAAGCAACAGCTCAAATACGATGGCGCGCACAAAAACATCACCTTCATCTGTACCAAAGCAGAAGACATTTCCCTGGATGAAGCGGCCCCGAGTCTTAGCATTGTAGACCTCATCGCGAAGGAGCAAGAGCGCAAAATTGGAATGGAGAGTGAAATCGAGCGCAAGAGGGGCGAACTCAAAAGCCTTGAGCTCCAGAAAGCGAGCGCTCAGGAGAAGTACAGCATCATCGGCAATGACTTTGATACTTGGCATGGACTTTACAGACAGGTTTCCAAAGGGCATACGACCTTTGCTTCCATGGAATCTCCCCGCAAGAGGAAGCGTTCTCGGCCTCAGCGTGAGAAAGAGCCTGCAATTGCCAAGAAGGTGAAGAAAGAGCCTGGTCAAAGCGACACAGACGAAAGCAGTGATGACTCGGATCTCGATGCTGTTGAGTCTGACGACGATGACTTGGAGGGTCGCCCTGAGCCTTTTTCAATCGAGGAGACGCGCAACAAGCTTGAAGAGCTGAAGGCGTCGAAGAAGGCTGCCAGGGAGGAGCGGAAGAAGATTACTCGGCAGATGACGCAGATCAAGAAGGACATCAGGGACCTCAGCAAGCAGCGTTCGGCTGTGAAGATCCAGATGTACCGCTACTGCATCCAAGGACGCAATGATTACTCCCGCCAGGCGATCAAGGAGGACTTTGCGTTTGGTCTGAAGGAGTACGTATTCATACGGACGTCATCCAAGAAGGGCATCACTAACAAAAATGTCTGATTTACAGGTTTGATGAAGAGCTTCTCGCCGAACAGGAGGGAGAGATGCGAACTCGCCAGCAGGTTGAGGTCGTGAGCCCCGATTATGAACAGATTGGTAGAGATTTACCAGTCTTCTGCATCAGCAGTCGGGGCTACCAGCAGTTGAGAGGAAGGATGAAGAAAGACCATCGTGTTGTAGGCTTCACTTCTCTCGATGATACTGGGGTTCCTGGTCTTCGTGACTACACCCTCGAGCAGGCCGCGGCTATCCAGGCTAGCCACTTTCGCCATCATCTCAGCGAGATATGCCGTCTTCTGGGGGCCCTCGACCTCTTTTTTGCAGGGGACGTCGCTAACCTCAAGCTCTCCGAAAATGAGAAGAAGCAGGAGACTCAGAGCTTGGGAGTTGCTTTGACCAAGCTAAGAAAGGTACCCGCGAAAGCGATCATACTGCAAGCCATTGAAACATTACTAACTATGTCTCCAGGCCCTCGGTGAGGCTGTTACAAAGTGCATGGAGGATTGCAAGTCAGTCGTTAAGGTGAAGGTCCTGAAGAAGACCGGCAAGGGTGCCGTGAAAGCCTCTGACAAGGCCGTTACTACTGCCGAAGGCTGGGGTGCGAAGCACGATGCCGGAGGTCTTCGCTATGGAACCTGTAAGGCTACTTGCCGTCGCTAGTAAGTCCTGCCTCGTGACAACCCCCTTTAAGAAGCGTGGCTCTAACGTAAAGCAGTGGCGTATTCAAAGGCGCAGCGGGTGCCCGTGACTTCAACGAGGGTAAGCTCTGTCTACTATGATTTGTCTGAACCGAGGGAATCTAATATGCAGCAGATCTTCTCAAGCCTATGAAGAATTATACTGCCCAGGAGTGGGACTCGGCCTTCAATGGCCGCTTGCCTGAGAAGATTGCGACACTTGCCGCGTCTTCCAAGCAGCTGATTAACTCGTTCCACGAGCGCATGAAGGACAGACGGTTTCTTGTCGAGAACAACGATTTAGTGAACGGCTTCCTCGTCGTGATTCTGGCCGCACAGAAGGAGAAGCTCGCTCATATAGCTAATGAGCACCAAAAGCTGGTCAAGACCGCACAAAAGGACGCCAATCGTCTTTTCGGCCCTGTTGTTCAGCGAGCCATGAATGAAGCCTACCAAGGCTGCGTCGACCTGAGAGGTGAGCGTTGCGAATTCTTGGAGGCATACAGACATCAAGCTAACCGAGCTCAACTCCACAGGAACCGGATCCTTCCTTCTAATGAAAGACCTCATGAAGGAACATGTCGAGTCCCAGAAGTCTACCATGTTCAAAACCGCCGCCGGAGATGTGGAGAAGGCCGCCAACACAATGCCGAGCACCCTTGAAAAGACAATCCGCGACGACACGAATGGAGTTGTGAACGCCATGCAGGAGGACTACATTGGCCTGATTGGAGAGGTGGCTACCACGGCTAACTTACGCGCCCGAAAGATCTTGAGCCCCGTGCTCCGTGACTTTTACATGAAGCTGAATGCCGCCCTGGATCCTATCGAGGAGGAAATCGTCGTCCATGAGCCCATCGATCTTGAGCTCGACATGGGAGATGGCAGTGACGACGAATACCGGCCCGATGAAGATATGAGTGATTGATCACGGGATTATTGACCTTGCAAGGGATGTGACATTGGAATCTGTCTTTTGACCCTATGGATTGCGGGATATGGGTACTCGGACTTGTTGCTTGATGATACTTGCTCTTCGATCAAAGCACGCTAGGTCTCGGTATGAAGATTCTGAGGGGCTATGGGGTAACCGCCTGCTTAGGCACCGAGATAGGATTCTGATAGGAATAGAATGTATGAACAAGGAAACACTGCGCAGATGTGATGAAGCCCACCGATCGAGCGGCAATGACAACCACTCTGAGGGTTGGAAATTGTCTCTCATCCGCTAGACTGCGGTGATAAGCAGCGAGCATTTACACACGAGCTATTACGTGTCTGGTCTCCCTTGCTTTACTCAGTGGATGAATTCTTCGTCGCCAACGTCGGTAGTTATCAAAGTATCATCAAAAACAATCTCCGGTTCGAGCGTACCTGGCTGCAGCCGGCGAAGTAAGTGTATGTAAGGTACGGCACGTAGCTACCAACCTTACTGTCTTACAACTCCCAGGTGCCCATAAACAAACCTCGGAAGCCGAAGCAATTTTCATGAGACTGCTTTCACTATCAATCGCTCGATGCCTTCTCACCTTAGTGAGAATGTCATCAATAAAAGCAGATAAACAAAGACCGGCCAATATGACATAACAAACACCAACGGGACTCAATTCGGTCGGTTCCGAGCGCCCGGCGGCCGAAGAGGCCGCGTCCCCGGATAACCCTTGCAGGCAAAGCCGTTGAGAACACGGCAGCGGCTGCGGTACGTAACACGATAGCACGCGGGAAAGGCTCATAAAGGCCCCAGGTCAGGACAGGTAGGTATGACCGCACCGTGCAGCGGTTGACAGCGGGAGAGCGGCGGTGCCCGCCTAGGAAACTCTCCGTTCTAGAGCGGCCAGACGGGACCTATTTTTCTGCAGTACCTAGGCACGGAAGAGACATACAGACGTTGATCAGGCGGCGCGAGCAGAGCAAAACGGGCCTGGGCAAAGGAGGAAACATGACTGCTCACACCCGGCAATTGGGATGTTTCGTCTCGTTGTGTGGCGTGGGCTTTCCCATTGGTGTTTTAACTCCATCTCTTATAGGTAGATACACCGCCATAAGCACCCGCCACTGAGACGTTGCACTCGCATATTAACTGGGCATTTCTCGGTGTGACCAAGGCCATGAGGTTTTCCCACCCTGCGCCCCCAAATACTCAATGCGCAATGCGAGCAGCAAAAAGTCCATACATTGCCGTGTAAGCGAGAGAGCATTGCATCACCACCCGCGTAAAATAAATTGGAAAAGAGGTACAGGCAAGGGTGGGATGAAGTGGGACCGCTGTTGAGAAATGCGAGTCATCAATAAGTCCGAAAGGCAAGGCAAGGGAAAAAAAACCTCAAAGTCTGTTTTTTTTCAGCTTTGGGGATCTCGTGACAGTCGTGGAGCCCGATGTCCCCGTGGAGGACAAGTCACGGGGTTCCGGGACCGGTGAGAGGGGCGGCCAGTCATGCGCCGCGGGGGTGACGGCCGCGTGACACCCTAAGAGCCGGACTCGGTCAAGGAAAGAAGGCCAACGTCCGGCGGGGGTGAAGGAGGGGAGGGCCACGGGGGTGTTCGAGTCTCGACGTAGGAGGTTCCCTTGCCCGAGGCAACCACTTGGCACCACTTGCTCGCCAACGAACCTGAGCAGGGCGGCACGGCGCAACACTACGTCGCCCAAGAATGCCACCTTATCTATGTACCAGCGGAGGTGTCTAGGAAAGTATGTCGGAAAGTCAAATTCTATGCTTCCCACCTTCTCACCCCCATCCATGCTGGCGACCTTGTCCCGTCGTGGGGCCTTTCTTCGTCAATGACCTTTGACGTCGATGTGCCCCCTCGTTTTTTCGAGTTGTACAACGGTGAAGCCTGCCAATGGACGCCGCTCTTCTTTGTGTTGGAGGGGTGTTGCGCGGCTTCTCGTCTGAAGGATAGGCAAGATAAGTCAAACACAACTTCATCCAAAACAGACCCCGCGTTATCAGCGAAAGCTAGAGCCAAATTGATGTCGTTCTCGGGGATACTGCATAATAGTTTGCTGGAGCAGTTTGGCAACTTGCGATTTGTGTTTGTGAGCGGCCGTCTCGAGAGGGTGACCTGTAAGCGCGTGTAAGTGTCATGGAATGACCCACAGTTCGTAACCGCCCATCATGCCCAACCATGGCCGCAATACACGACAAGCCACGAGAGGCTTTGATTGATTGCGGATTCGTGAGTAGACGTTGAGAAGGGCATTGCCGGGTGCCGAGATCGGTTGTTAGCTCGAGGGTTGCAGCAATCGTTGCGACAGTTGCTGCTAGGCTATGGATTGAGTTGAGTTTTTGGCCTTCTTGATGGATTGTCAGGTCAGGGTGCCAATGTCATGGCCAGCGCAGTGCCATTGCGGAGCTGAGAGTACTTAGTCCAAGTCTGATGCTGAACGGGGATCGGCGGTTTTTGGGAGGCTTGAACCACTGAAAACCTAATGCGACTTGGTAGGAGCCAGAACACGAGCCTGTCGGACCAGTGAGGTGTGACAGAGAAGACAGCTCATGGCATAACTGAGTGATAGAAAGGCACATGAAGAGATTTCCATATGCATGTCAGTGCTAGGGTAGAATGCAGCGAGACGGGACGGGGTGGCCGACGGTGGATGGAGTCTGATGGAGTTGGACTAGGCATTCAACCGTTCAGACTCTCAGACTCTCAGGTCCGGTCATGTAAGTAGCACAAAGTGCCTGCAGCTGCCGGGTTCCGACTCCCAGGTTGCGTGGTTTGAGATGAGAAAAGAGAAAAAGCAATGAGCAAATTAAACATGTTCTGGGGGAGAATGGCCACGTGCCTGTCTTCAAGAAGCAATTCGATGTATGGTTCGGTGAGGAAAGCGCCGTTGACACCCGAATGACATGAGGCGTCCAACGTCCAACGTCGAGGGTCAAACGATGCGTGGGATCAGTATTGCATAATACGAAAGCAGGCGCAGACCATCAGCACCGAGAAAGAAGCAGCCCGGCAGACAACCAGCTCTCTGAGGGGTTTTCATGCCCCGGGCTTGACTCTTGAGAGGCAAGAGCGACTGCAAGGCTTGACTCTTTCCAACTTAGAGGGGACTTACTGCAGTAGGTTGTAAGGGACGAGGCAGGCGTGGGAGGGCAAGGGGAAGGAGAAGAGGAAGGGGGGGGCTACCTGCCTTAATCACCCCTGTCTGCTTGGCAATGCCGGTACGTACCTGCCGCCCACCCCGAGATTCCAAGAATCGGAAGCCCGCGCGAGCGCCCACCCAAAAAGATTCCATTTGGCTTTCCATTGCAGAGAGACGGGGGGGAGACAGAGGGGCGGAACCTCCCAAAAGGCCATGTCCCACGTCTTCCTTTTCGATGGTGAACCACGCATCCGACCCGACCCAAAATCCAGACAGCGGGGATCGGGGACACCATCTTTGAGGGTGTTCTAGGCCTCACAAGTACATATTCCCGCCACAACCACCACAGAGATACTTGCAGATTGGCACTCCCGGGTCCTGCTCCTGTACCGCCCAAAAGAATTAACCCACATCCATCGCACATTGGATTTGCACATTTGCACATCGGCCGCTTTGGACCGACCACACACACAACACACGCACACCCACCACGCGCTTGACTCCCCATGCACAATTCATCTCTCGTGTCTTTCTGCACAAACTCCCGCAGACAAGGCACCTACGCAGTATCCCTCCAGTCTGGTCTTACCTTTGGGTCTCGCTTGGATTGACTTGTCCAGTCCAGGTTGTTGTCTTGCCCAGTCCTGGCAGGTTTTTATCTAATCTTTTCTATTTACCTCAGATTCTGGCCTGATCCGAGACCACAATCCAATCCACACACCCCTCCCCGGGCCCCCGACTTTCCTATTGATCATCTCTCTCCGCGGGGAAGAGAGACACACGCACACACACAGAGCACCGCACACCACACAACCACACACATTCGCACACAGAGAAACATTCCCCAAACGCGTTCATCTGCAACCTGAACCTCTTTCTCTCTCTCACTGTTTAACTCCATCGTTTTGCATTACTAGAGGATTACTGCAGTACATATAAACGCTACCCTACCCTCGAATTCCGCACTATTTAACCTCAACCCTTTTCATAAGTCTCCTATCCTTTCCTCTATTCTACCCTCTCCCTCGTTAAAGGATCGCTAAAATCGCAGTTTTAATAGCTTATTAATAAGCTAGTATTACTATTTAAAAATAAATAACTTATTCTTATATATAAGTACTAGGAGTCTTACTATTATAAAAATAGTAATAAATATACTAAAGTACTTAAGAGAGCTTTTTAATAAATTTTTAATACTATTTAAAATAATTATCCTTAAGCTATAAAAAGAAGCTAAGGTACTATATTAATACGGCCCTATTTATTTTATTAATATTAATAATACCCTTCTTAATATAAGATATATTAATAATACTCTATAATTACGTTACTATACTTTATAAATCGTACTTAATAATAGCGAGGATTCTAACGTTTTTTTTTAAATCTTTTATTAAAGTCGTTATTATAAGGTTAATTTAATTATTAATATTTTAATAAGTATTTTAACTTAATTTAAAAGCTCTTATAGCTCTTAATAAGAGGCTTTTAAAAAACTTATAACTAGACTTTTTATTTATTATAAGCAAAGCTATTATAATTAAAACTATAATAATTAAAGCTATAATACTACTTACGGACCTTAATAATAAGTAGTTAGTAATATAGTTATCTTTTTTTTATAATAAGCTTAAAAAAATATCTTAATTTAAGTACTAAGTAAGTATTATACTATTTTATTAAAACTGTATTCTTATACTTATAACTTAGAAAGAATTAACTTTCTTTGATAACAAGGTACTCAGAACCTCTTTCTCTCCTTCCGCCGCCGCCCACCCCAGTGTGTCTCTGTCAACACCCTTTGCGCCTGTGCGCCTCTGCCTCTGTGCCTGTGGTCTGGA